AAATCCGGGCTGTTTATGACTCCAATCCTGCCAAGTTCAAAACGCTGCAGAACATCCTGGAGGTGGAGAAGGAGCTGCACGGCTCAGCCTGGCCCAAGATAGGCGCGACGCTGGCGCTGATGTGGTTGAAAAGGTGACTCACGGCATCGGGAGCTGGTGAACACTGGCTGGAGGCTGTGTAGGCTGGGCTGCTCCCTTGGGCTGGGTCTGGCCATTTTGGAGAACAGAGCTGTTGGGAACTGCCTCCTCAAAGCTCCCCTGGGAATGCACGTGGAAACTCAACCTCAGAGTATGAGCCCTCAGATTGTCTGGACAGGCCAGGACCCTGCAGTGCCAGGGGACCCCATGGGGCTGCACCTGGCCCTGTCCAGCTCAGCCCTTGGGCCCAGCCTCACCTGGGGGCTCCGTCCTGCCCTGCTCCCCATATCTCCCCCAGGGGCTCCATCCTCCTCCAATACCCATGTGCTACCCCACAGGGTTCCATCCTACACAGGTCCCCATGTGCTTCACCAGGGGGCATCCTGTCCCTGTCCTTCCTGAGGGACTTAGTCCTGCCCTTCTCTCTCTCTTCCCTGGAGGCACCCACAGGGACGGGCACCAGCCCTACAAGGGGATTACACTGCTGTGGGATTTTTGGGATACTTAGACACACAGGGCTGGAAGCTGGGAAGCAGCACCCCCTTTCCTCACCCCAACATCTCTGCTCTTCCCCCAGGGGCCTGAAATTCATGCTGGTGTTGCTGCAGAGCATCTCCGATGGCGAGCGGGATGAGGAGCATCCCAACCTCATCCGAGTGAACGCCATGAAGGCTTATGAGATCGCACTGAAGAAATACCATGGCTGGATGCTGCAGAAGCTCTTCACGGTGAGCGCTCCCCCCTCTCCAGTCATCCAAATGCCATCCCTGAGGTCGTTCCCATGTGCTGATGAGCGTCCAGAGAACCCGCAGCACAACCCAACCCATGGTCTCCGTTGGGTGTGTGGGAGTCTAACGCCTTCTCCCTGTTTTATAGGGCTCAGTCTACGCTCTTCCCTACAAATCCGATCTGCTGAAGGCCTTGGAGAAGGGTAGAGAAGTAAAGGAGGAGGAAAGCATAGAAAAAATCCATCAATTTCTCACGAGGGTCACCCCAATCCTGGATGCAATTTATGAGATGTACACGAAGATGAACGCCGAGCTGAGCTACAAAGCCTAAAGCTGGCACGAGACTGGCATGGATTAAATAAGGTGTGATGGGTGTTACCTGTGTCTTCATCACTGAGGCAGCCGGGGCAGCTCCCAGCTCTCCTGTGACTTCAATTCCTGTCTGGATCTGCAGTGGATAACCTGTTTTCTAACCAAAAAATAATAATCATTAATTTTCTATTAAGAACACGGCAATAAAACAATTGCGGGTGTCACTGTAGGATTTCCCAAGAGGAAAACCAAATGTTTCTAGTCCCAGCTCCCGGATTCCTGTCTCCGGTGGGGCAGGGAATGAAGAGTGGTGATGGCAGAGTCCTGCTGATGCGACCTTGGACCTGTCTGGCACTGGGACTGCGCCCGGATCCCGCCACACACCGACAGCACCTTGTGCCGATTGGCACCGGATCATCCGGAACGATGCCCAGGGCGGAGGAGCCAATGACTTCCCGGGTGACCCTGATTTCTCTGGTGCCGGCCTGGGACCGACTCCCTCTGCCGGGATGCGGCAGCCGGGTCTGTGCCGGTGGTGTTTGCGGTGCCTTACGAGCCCCCTCACCTTCTGTGCTGCCGATCCCCTGCACGGGGCGGGAGCAGCACTTAATAAAAACTGACAGTACCACGGCTTGGGAGGCTCATTGGGGGCTGCCCCCGGGGAATTTGTTTTGGGAGAGTGCTTTGGGGCTGTTTTTGGGGGGGGGCTGTTTTGCTAAGGGTGTTTTGGGGCTGTTCTGGAGGGAGCTGTTTTGGTTCAAGGGTTTTTTAAGGGACTGTGCCTTGCAAGGGCTGTTTGTGGGAGAATTTGGGGGCTGTTTCAGGGAGGGTGTTTTGGGGGGCTGTTCTGAGGAGGGTGTTTCAGAGGGCTGTTTCAGGGGTTTGTTCCTGGAGGGGCTGTTTTAGGGAAAGGTGTTTGAGGAGGGTGTTTGGGGTAGCTGTTCGGGGGGGCACTGCTTTGGAAGGGTGTTTTGGGGCTGTTCTGGGCAGACTGTGTCAGCGAGGGTGTTTTGGGGAGGGTGACTTGGGGCTGTTCTTGAGGGAGCTGTTTTGGGGAGGATGTTTTGTAGCTGTTCCTTGTTTCAGAGAGTTTGTTCCAGGGGAATTTATTTAAGGGAGAGTGTTCTGGGGGGTTGTTCCCAGAGGCTGTTTTGTAGAGGGTGTTCCCTGGGGACCGTTCCG